GGTGCAGTACAGATAGTCCATTTTGCAGCCTTGGGCTTAACAACAACAAACAAACACTATGTACAATTTACAAGAAGAGTTAGCTTGAGGAACCGAAAGATGGAGATATACGTTCAAAGTTATGAGTCAACTTCTGAATATACTTATATATAATGGAACCTTTCGTTAAGGTTTGATTCCTAAAGTAAAAGCTGAGTCAACTTCTGAATATACTTATATATAATGGAACATTTCGTTAAGGTTTGATTCCTAAAGTAAAAGCTGAGTCAACTTCTGAATATACTTATATATAATGGAACATTTCGTTAAGGTTTGATTCCTAAAGTAAAAGCTGAAATCCGGGTATTAGTTCTGTTTCCCGTTCACAGTCACTATTGAGAAAGCGAGATAAAGGTTCACAAGAAAAACAAAATTTATTTCAGAACAGTTCGTTTGTAGTTAAGTGCAAAGCAACGTAATCGATTATCTGTGCTGTGCCTATAACGAGTGTCGAAACTCGGTTTTTAGCGTTATAAGTCCGTAGACTTACCACTGTGATTTCAGAACAAAGGGTTTTGCCTAAGCAAGTAAGATTACTTAAAGAATAATAAATAAAATATATTTATGAGCCACCTAGTTGAAAAAAAGCTTAAAAGATAAGAAATAAAAAGTTAATTATGTAAAGGTTCGATTGTTAATGCATACAGTCATTAGAGCGCATACCTCCTCACGCACCGTTGATCATAAAAAAAAAAAAAAATGTGTCCGTATGTCCGTCGTTATCAACGAACACGGATCATTTTTGGTACGACAATGAGGAATAATATTCTACATAAGTGCACCTACTTTCATCAAAATCCGATCATTTTTGACTGAGTTATTGGGCAAAAATAGTGTAAAAAATTGGTCCCCATGTTAACAGATAAGGATTTTGCGTTTTTTTTGTGACCTTGCTGTAACCTTGACCCTCCCAAAACTAATCATTTCTAAGTTGGGTCATAGTCCAAGTGTATACCAACTTTCGTCAGAGATAAATAAACTATCAGTGTACAGAGTAAATATATACTGAACGGCATCTTTGTGTTTTACTTAACGATATCAACTAGATCATGTAGAGCTATAAATTATTAACAGATAAAAACAAATACGTTAGAATGTGGCAAAGTTCTCAATATTACAAGTTGCGTGAGCCCTGGCATGGCCTAGTGGTTAGGTCGCTGCTCTCGCGAGTCGCGGGATCGAAGCCTGTCAACTATAATGTGATTTTCATTTACACTATTTGTTAGAAATAGAGTAGCCCAAGAGTTTGGTGTTGGGTGGTGTTGACTAGCCGCCTTCCCTCCAGTTTATCACTTCAAAATTAGGGATGACTAGAGCAGATAGTCCTGCAGTAGTTTTGTGTTAAATTCAAAATAAACAAGTTGCAATTTTATGATTTCAGTAAGATCAACATGAGATAATGAACTTCTGAGACGTAGCCCAGTAGTTAACATGCAGGGCTGTGTATCGAAGGGTCCGGCGTTAGAAACATAATGCTAATGAATACTCTTCCCACTTTCAGCTATGGAAACTGTATAAAAGTCAATCCTGTTATTCGGTTGAAAGAAGCAGATATATCATCCTTTCTGGCTGCTTGCTTTCCCTATAGTCAATTGTTCAAGATTATGGACGATTATACTTGAATCCTATAGGGGTCTCTGATCTGGCTGTTTAGTGCAGTTAGGCATAAGGTGCTGTTCAAGTTGAAAGTTCAGATTGCATTTGAAATAGAAAGTACGCACACATACATAAAATGATTGTGCAATTTTTTTGCCATCTTGTTTTCTGTATCTAGCTATCTAGTTACTGTAAAATATTTTTACTTTGCTATGAAACATTAGTGTATTATTTCATAATGATAGAATGAAGAACATAAACTTACACTTTTTAATTTACATATCTAAATGAAAAAGTAACTGTTTCAAATTTTATCTCAGTAATTAATCGACTAATCAGATTCTTTTCCGAGCATTTTATTAGTATTCTATTTTGAAAATTAGTTTTGACAATGCTTAAATGCATACTTTAACATCAGGATAATCAATGTGAACAAATAGAATAGAATTGCTTTCCCCAAAGCAACTTCCAAAATCTTCAAAGTTAATACATTTGTCTATGAATAAAATGTTCTCTTAAAAGTTTTTAACAAAATTTCGAAAGAAAAACCTGATTTAGAATATGGTATTCAACAGACTAAAATAAAGTTGTGTTTTAAGACTTTTAAGAATTATGTACTTGTTGTACTTCGCGTCATAGTTTAGTGATTTAAGGAAGTGATGTTTGTGTAGAAAATAAAATGTAAACTTTTGTTCTCGTTTTGGCTTGATTGTTGGTAAGGCGCAAAACAATACGATAGGCTATCTGTGTTCTGTCCACGAGTGTTATCGAAACTCGAATTTTAGCGTCATAAGCCTGCAGACTTACCGTTGAGCCACTGGGGGCTTGATGATTTTCAAAAGCACAATAAAAGTGGACAACAAAATATTTTCTCTGCTACTAGAAAAAAAAATGCAACTGTTTCTGATTAATTTGACGATGTTGATTCTAAAAATCATGTCGAAAATTACTGATGACCTCTGGTTTTTGAGTTATGATAAAAGTATTCAAAATATTTTATTATATCGTGAAAATAACAACTTTGTCTTTAATAGCTTTATTTATTCATGGAAAATTGCATTTAAGAATGTATAATCTACATGCTTTGATAAGTCTCTTTCGTGTTCACAGCATGAGAGACAGGATTTGATGGCTTAGTGTTCCCATTGTGCAAAAGTACAGCTTTCAGACTAAATTTAGATGAATCGATAAAAAGTCTCCATTCTTGAAGATGATGTTCATTACCCAATTCTTCAATTAGTGCATCAACATTTCTAAAGAAACACAAAGTATCTTGCATGCTGTAGTGAAAAGCAATACTTTGATGCCAACTTCGGTAAGTTGAAACTCTTGTTCTTTGAGCTAATAAATTCCATTACTGTGAACAAGAGCGAAGAAGCTGCTCATGCTGCTTTGATAGAGACAAGTCATGAATCAGATCATTTAGCTCTTCTTGCGTGATCAGATGAGGCAGTTTATGTTGAGATGCCACAGGAATTACTAGATGAAGATGATTCATTTTCTTCTTCGCGGGATAACTCTTCTGTTTCCCAATTCGCTGGTGGATGTTGCACTGGAAGACCATCCTCATGGGGTACAGGTTTAATTGCAGCTGCAATATCTGAATATTTAATGTATTGTTTAGTTTTGCCTGAATATCCAGGAACATTAGTCATTCAAAAATAACAGTCAGTTAAATTATCTTTAGGCTCATGTCATATCATGGGAACTGCAAATGGCATACTTGCTTTCTTCTTATTCAGCCACTGTGTCAAGCCAGATGTGCAAACTGTATAACATACATGTGGAGCCCAGTGCTTTTCTTGGTCACCAATTTTACACCCAAAATAGTCGTAGTAAGCTACCTTTACCTTGTGTATGATGTTTTTCCTTCATATAACTGTAATATACTTTCCACAAATGTAGCAGAAACTGTTTGGGTGATTTTTGCACTTTTGGACTTTACTTGAACTTGAAGTAGCCAGCATTTCAAATGATTTTCTAAAAAATACAAAATGATTTATGTTTACAGAACTAGAGATTAAAATGTCTTAAAAACAGTGTTTTGGAGAATTATATTATATCGCGTGTATGACGCGAGAAAAGAAAAAGATGACCAACTGAGTGAGTGAAAGGCAACTGAGAGAGAGGCGTCTGACTTCGCCCATTTTATGCTCCATCGAGGAACTTCTCGAATGTTCTAGCAAGCTGAGCACATGAGGGTTTCGTGATTCCCAGGCGGAGCAGGTGAACGTGAGAATGAAGCAAAAGTTGTGCAATTCGCTACAATTATATTCAGAACAAACAACATACATGAACAATGTGTTTGTGTTTGAAGATATCAAAAATGTATGTCTTTTATCCATTAAACTGTCCAAGTAAACTTAATTTCACAGCATAAATCTGTTATATTGAGTTGATTGCATGTTATTTCACGTAGTGCTGAAAAAATATTGAGATATATAATAACTCCAAATCTGGAGGTGATTGACAAATTATGACTACATTTTTGAAATCAGCACCAGAAAATGACCCCGAATCACTTGAATTTTCTCCAGTAACAAGATTTTTGTTGTCCAGTGTAATCCTAAATAATAAACTTGTTAAAAACGCTTAACTGATGTACAATTTATGAAGGTACTGAATAACCATATTTTGTCAAATCTATATGAAACACGAAACAAAAATATTTCGAGGAACACAAAAGTGTTTGATGGTGTTTTAGTGAGGATAGGTGTTACTTCACATCTACATTTACTGAGGAATGCTTCCTAGGAACTATATAAATGAGTGACTGACCACAAATGTGATTGGCTTGATGGGTAGTTCCCTTTGTGAGCTGCAGCTGTTCCTCCTGTGTTGGTAAAGTTGGATATGGTCAACACTAGTTACAGATGATGGCAATCTTACATAAATGGTAGCAAACTTGAAATACAAGATGACTGGTATATTAAAAATCTCTAATCAAGCTCCCTTGACTTTAAACACGAGAATATGATCATTTAAAGTTGTCTCTCCTGTTGATTGGGGGCAGCATGGCTCTTTGTCCTTTGCGTTTTGGACTCGTAGACGGATAGTTGGAGTAGAGGTTTGCTTGCGTTATGCTTATGTGTCTTTGAGTAAGACACTTTACCCCAATTGTTTCAGTTCACCCAGCTCTCTAATAGGTACCAGCTGCTAGCTGGGGCTAACCTGAAATGGACTGGCATCCCATTCAGATGGAATGTGTGTGTGCCAATTAAGCCAGAGTTCAGCACCGGATCGTATAACATTAATATTGGGGTTTTGACACTCGCGGTGGCAGAACATAGATAACCCATTGTGTAGCTTAACATTAAACAAACAAACAAAACGCACAGTTGCTTTATTTATGTCACATTTCTGCTTCACTATCATATGCGATTTTCGTTGATTTCATAAGTAGTTTATTAGGTTTATACAGTAAAGCACAAGCCAATGTGCTACAATACTTAACTTTTTCTTTTGTTATGTATGGTAATTTGTATGTTAAAAATTATCTAAAATTTGAATTTAGTTGTTAGTATAATCTCAATTACAAAAAAAAAATCGTGACTAACGTTTCATCTATTATAGTTTCTTGTATTTCTGAAAGTTTCGCAGTATTGTAAGACTTTGTTTCCTCCTTCTCGCAAGGTTAGTAGACCTACGCGTCTTCCCACAAATTTATAGATGCGTATGTTTTTGAATGAATAAATTAATTTATTACAAACCTTTTTACAGTGGCCTAATGAACCAAAAATATTTTCTGATGAAGATATCAAAACGTTAAGTCGTGCTGTTGCCAGTCGTCAAAGGGATTTTAACACAATACTGAATAAGATACTTGTTCCCAGAGTTCCCGGAACGACTGGACACGACAACGTTAAAAAGGTAAAACAGAATTAAGTGAAATATTTTATTTCAATTTAACTTTGTATTATTTTCATATCACGGTGCGAAAGATTGAAAAACGGTCTGATATTCATAATCAGAAACATGCTAGAACTGTGAATATTTCTCAAAACATTCTGGTCCATCACGTATTTCAAATAAGAAATGTGTAAAAATAGCGATTCAGGTGCATATTTCGTCTTCCACAAATCACTGCCAAAAAGACCTTTTTTTACAGCACGTGAAGTCTACAATTAGGCTAGACTGTGACAGCCAAACATCTACTTCAAACACTATATATACATACAGTGCAAAAAATTTAAGGTTAAGTTGTTGAATACTGAAAGCTAGCAAAGTAATGAAAACCAGTAGGCTTAGACAGTGAGGGTACAACAACCACAAATAAAATACAACAATGCCACTTCTGCTGTTTCCTGAAGCCGAGTTTTATTTTTTATTTGAACATATAATTATGTATTTCAACTAATAAAAACAAAACCAACATACCGATTGTGCATCTGCAATAATTTTCTTTCAAACCCATGAAATACTTGAATTGGACAGACAAGAACAACCCTTTAACAAAGATCAAATCTAATAAAAAATACATACATCAGGTGTGAAAAGAAGGTGCGACCAAAAATGGATTTGAGTGTGCAACTTAAAAGAATGAAATCAAAATTAGCGGCCAAACTGGTAGCTACACTTATAGCATTGATAAAAAATTTACAGCAAATATTTATTCAATTGTTAACCAGGCCGCGTTTTACGTTCATCTTGGGGCGTGATGATGAGTAAAACAAAATTGGTCAAAACTGAGCGATTTTTGTTGAATAACTTTGCACAAGTGACATATATTGAGACCAAATTTGACAACTAATTGTAGGTTGTAAAGATCTATCAGTGTACCAAGTTTGAAAAAAAAATCCATGAAAGTTAAGTACTCTCTTTATCAAATACAGTTTCCGTACATGCGATGCGAAAAAAAAAGGAAGAAA